CATTGAAAATATAAAACAAAGTATTAAAATTCTACCAAAATAATTACCAAATTATACTAAAAATAGAATAAAATATATAATATAATATTGACTCATCAATATGCATGACAGATATATGGGTCATCAATCAATGTTGGGTTCTGCCTGAGTAGCCTTGTTTTTACAGACACCACCACTAATTAATATTCCATGCAAAAGTATTTCACCTTACTAGTTAGCTTCTTCACTCTTTAAAGAATATTCAAATTATATTCCAGCAGGACTCCATATTTCTGGCACCAAGTTATTCAGAAATATAAAAATCTGGAGCTAAGCATGGTGGATCTGGGTGGGAACTGGGAAGAAAATGATTTCAGCATAGGGAAGGAAGCTATGTTGTTCTTCTTTGATTCAATAACCCTAATAATTAAAAAATAAATTAAAATTGCTGATGTCACAGGGAGTACACGTACGATCATACCACCTATGCTATTGCAGAAACCAGCAGCTTGCTTTCATAAAGTCGTTTGGTGATGCAAATGTACGTTTCTTAAGTTATTTCAGAAGAGGAAAACTGAAACCCTAAACCCTAAAACAAAAGCACCCAAATAAATACATTCTCAAAACCTGCCTTGTTTTCAATTCTATACAGTGTTTATCTTTTAACTTTTCAAATTAATCATTCAAATTAAATCATCGGTGCCGGAACTGCTTTTCTTGATTGCTCGAGCTTTGAGGGCCTGAAGTGCCAAATAAACCCACGTTTGGAGACTTCTTAATCCTTAAGGCAAATTTGTTTCGTTGTTACCAATTTTTTATTTTTTTCAAGGACAGAATCTCTCTTAGTCAAGTATTAGGGTTACAAAAGTTGTTTCACATCTAGTAATAAATATCAAGGATACAACAGCATCAGTATATTTATTTTCTTATACTATTAAAGTCGGTCTATAAATATCTGCCACGATATAGAATGGAAAAGATATCTAGCTAGCTCATTATTCGATCACATGTTACAATTATATGTTCCACGTTGATAAGAAAGTAATTTTAACACCCCTGTGAAGCTTCATCCACCCCCAAATACATATGGACTCCACTTGTGTGTGTGTGTATGTCTCTCTCTCTCTCTCTGGTAAGAAGTGCAAGTTCTTTTGTAGGAGTCTAGGAGAATCTCTAAGCCGTCCATTTTGTAAAAAGCAGATGCCTATGCATTGAACATTTGGGTTCCAAAAGATGATAAAAAAAGGAGCAACAAGCATATACTTGCTCTATATGAATATGCAATGCCAGATATATGGGTCAACATTCAAATATAGTACATGGAGAATTCAAAATTTGGAGAAGGGAAGGGTGCTACTGAATAATGTTGAAGTAAAATATTAGAAAGCGTACTTAATTAGATTCAAACACAATTTACCTATATGGCCTTGCTTTACAGACTCACCACTTTCCATGTCGTGTGAGTATGTAGGGTGCTGTTCTATGTAGAAAAAGTAAATTTCCTTTTTCAATTAATTTTGGGTTGAAATCTCAAATTCTGGGCTGATTTAGAACATAAAAAAAAAAAAAAACAGCTTATGAACAAAATTTAGAACATCAAATATATTTGGTAAAACAAAAGAAAGTGTTTTTTTTATTATAAATTGTTCTCAATGATAGTAAAAAAGTATAGAAAATTAGAAGCAAGGTCTACCATGCTTTTAAATTTTTTTTTTTACCCATTTAATGAAATTTTCAAATAGTAAGTATACCCTCACATATTTTACAAAATTATAATCATTACCCCTCACATTATTCTTTTTGACAATAATTATATCACATTAATGGCCATATCATTTTTAGTCATTTAACATACTCAAAGCAATTTATATAAAAATTTACCAAACACTTATACACTATTTTTTTTTTTGTTAAAAGCACTTTTACAAAAGGTGTTTACCAAACACTCAATAACTTTATTTTACAGCTGTTTATTCTTACAGCACAACAAAAACAGTTTTTTTTTTTTAAAGCACAACAATACCAAACTAGCCCTGTGTGGTATAAAAACAAGTTGATCGATCAATCCACTTGTGAAAGTTTGATGACTAGCTAGCACACATACTTCACATCATCCAATATGTATTGATCATATATTTGACTTGAGTGTTGTCATATGTAATATTTAAAATATCAGTATTAGTAGAAATATCAATAAGCAAATTTGTGGAAGTATCGTATATCTATATCGATGTTGATTGCCTTCGATGAAAATGATGGAAATTTGCTCAAAAATATGAAATTTTAAAATTATTTTTTAGGGGATGTCATATGAAACCACAACACACGTATGAATCAAGAATTAATGATTAGACACTGTGTAAACAATATGTGATATGTGAGAAGAAAAACTTCTTTATAATGACAAGTAATAAAATAAAGCATTTCACTAGAAAGAATAAATTATACATAACTTAATTGAAATTTTCGTCATGAAGCAGTACAAGTTTTATTGAATTAAACTTGTAATATCCCACATCACCCAGGGGAGTGGATCCTCTAAGCTTTATATGTATATTCTCATCTCTACCTAGCACGAGGCCTTTTGGGAGCTCATTGGCTTCGAGTTCCGTATGAACTCCGAAGTTAAGTGAGTTTGCACGAGAGCAATCCCTTGATGGGTGACCCACTGAGAAGTTTCCGTGTGAGTTCCCAGAAACAAAACCGTGAGGGCGTGGTTGGAGCCCAAAGCGGACAATATCGTGCTACGATGGAGTCGAGCCCAGGATGTGGTGGGGACCCAGGCCGGGATGTGACAATTTGGTATCAGAGCCAATCCCTGACCGGAAGTGTGCCGACGAGGACGTCGGGTCCCTAAGAGGGGGTGGATTGTAACATCCCACATAGCCCAGGGGAGTGGATCATCTAAGCCTTATATGTATATTCTCATCTTTACCTAGCACGAGGCCTTTTGGGAGCTCACTGACTTCGAGTTCCGAGTTCGCGCGAGAGTAATCCCATGATGGGTGACCCACTGGGAAGTTCTCGTGTGAGTTCCTAGAAACAAAATTGTGAGGGCGTGGTCAGGGTCCAAAGTGGACAATATCGTGCTACGGCGGAGTCAAGCCCGGGATGTGATGGGGGCCCGAGTCGAGATGTGACAAACTAATAACATAAAGAAAGAAATTTAAAAAAAAAAATGGATAGGCTCACAGATATTTCCTGCAAACTTTTTGAAAATTGTATTCAAACACTAGATATTTTCTGAAAATATCGAAAATATCTAGGAAATTGACTGATTTCCGGAAATATCATGGATGTATGGGGTTAAGTCTTCATCCCCTCTTTCCATATCGTTCCCTGAATTTTTAGATATTTCCGTGAAAATATCGAGCATATCCAAGATATTTCAAACGCTGATCGTATGTGATGATCATGTAAAAATTTAAAATAGTATTGTCTCATATCGAAAAATTAAGAGACATGTATGCATATTTATCAATTAGTTTCAAAATGAATGTTCGACTTCCTTCTAATCACTATAAAGCGTTTCACCTCAATAACTCTCTCCTACCCTCTTTGTGGAAGGTAGGTTTGGACTTTGGTGATTTCCCCTTTACCCTTATTTTTTTAGAGCACTAGCTGCTTCAAGAATATTCATAATTAATTTTCTACAGGCCTCCATATATCTGGAACCATACAGAGAACAATTTGATCAAACTAAGCTAATTGATCATGCTAACTCTTGTTAATGTCACGACTAAACTATACCTTCCAGTTCCATGTTGTCAATCTTTGAACTCCATTGTTTTGAGTTATTGACTACGACGTCGTCCCCTGCTGTCTCTTGAACTGTGCAGCTCCTTTACAAAGTGCCTTTTCTCTTCATTCAACACATGTGCCGTTGGCATATCAACTTTTTAGGGCAAAAAAGCAACAAAAAAAGGCATTTGGGGCATATACTCGGGTATATTAATGTATATATTGATCTCTCCTCAATGCCCAGCGCCTATCCTATATAATTAATTAGGGAATGGCAAGCTCTTTTTTTATGGCAAAAGTCTAAGTACTCCAAGTACTTACTACCTTTTAAATCACTGTACGATACTAAGCAATATGCAAAAATAACACATTAATTTTTTTTTTAAATGTTAAACAAAAATCGATGAGCATATTTAAAGAGAAAAAGCCATGTTTTGATATATTAAGTTTATGCTTCGTTTTGTTTTTGAGGTCCTCAGTTGTACTTTATAAAAAGATCAAGGATGGGCTAATGTATAAAGGTAAAAGCCACCTCGAGTAATGACATGGTTGCGTACATGCATACGCATAGTGTATATATACTGTGTATTTAGTTATATTTATTTTGCAGCATAGATTAAGAAAATGGTTAATGCTCAGGAAGGAAGCTATATTGTTTTTCTCTAATTTCTATAAACCCTAATTATAAAGAATAAAATAGGGCTGATGTAACATGGACGTGCGAGTACGACAAAACCACCTATCGAATTGCAAAACCAGTAGCTAACTTTTATAAATCGTTGCTGATGCAAATGTACGTTTCTTACCTCAGAAGAGAAAAGTTGAAAACCATCAAACACCACTCCGGAAAAGGAATTTTGAAAAGCTATTCGGAGGCTGGAAAACAAGAGCACCCAAATCAACACATGAGAAATGCTAATAAGAATCTTTGAAAGTAGAACTCTTAATGAATTTTGTATCACCTTACAGATTAACTTTAATTCATGTGCCAACATTACAAATATTATGCAAAAATATAAAATAACAGATAATCCATAAAGAATCTTATTTTTAGAAAGTTTCTTTAACATTTCTCATCAAGACATTCTCAAAATCTGCCATGGCTTTTTCATATAGTAATACATACCCCGACACTCAAAACTAATAAGAAACATTAACAATAATTTTATAAAGTTGCATGCATATGCCTTGAATCCCACAAATTAAGCAAAATAACCCCTCCCCCACCCCCCACCCCCCACCAACCCCCCACCCCCACTTCACTATATATAACTCCTCGTTTTACCTTCTTTACGTTCAGTCAGATGTGAATACAATTCCTCACGGTATATATCAGAATATATACAGCTTATCCCTCTAAATTCCTCATACTTCCATTTGAGGAATTAATGGATCAAATCAAGGCTGAAAAGCTTCGAGCCATGAAATGCTACAAGAAGAAGCAGAACTACAACAAGAGTAATCAATTTCTTTATAGTCTTATTGTTCATGCTCTTATTGCAGTGACATGCAGTTTGCTTTGTTCATACTCTTATTCGTTTCCTTCTCTCCACACTATCAAACACTTGCTATTTATTTCTCTTCCAAATTCTTGGTCGGGGTTTATCAACCCCAAGTGCCTCTTCATTGTGGTGAATTTTATTGTCGTATTCCTTATTGGAGAATCAAGGCTCAGCAGCGGCAAGCAATCGTCTCCAGTCACCGAGATGTACAACGAGTATGTTGAGAGAAGTCGGAATCTCAGGAGACCACTCTCCACGTTTCGAGAGAAGAAAGAGGAGAGGACCTTGCCGGAAATGTTGAATCCGATAAACAAGGGCAATGCGGAGAGTATTGAAGATAAAGAAGTTGATGAAGGTAAACAAGATGACAAGCATGATCATGATCATGACGAGGAAGACTTTAAAGAATGTGGGGAAAACGATGAAGAAGAAAAAGAAGAAGAAAAAATGGAAGGAAAAATGGAGGAAAAGGAAGAACGAGAAGAAGATGAGGCTTTAATGCCTGCTGAGGAACTAAACAAAAGAGTTGAAGACTTTATTGCAAGGGTTAATAAGCAAAGGTGGCTTGAAGCTAGATATTTGGTTTGTTGTAAAGCATGATTAATATATGTTGGGTACCCGGTCATTGAAAACAGATTTAATAAATTAGTTGGTGTAGTTATTCTATGGCATTTGTAGCTTGAAGCATGATTCTTGACAAGAGGGGGTTTTTTTTTTGTTCCTTTCTTTTTGGTACTTAATTTGTGATGTTAGTTATGGATTACCAATTTACAATAACAATTTTCTAATGGTAATTGCCATAAATAATGCCATTTGCTGTCATGTATATTTAGTTATTGGAGAAAACAAAGAAAAGGAAATGGGGAAATGCATTATAAAGAAAAAAGTACGGTTCAACTATTTTCTCTGACATTTTTGCCCGTTTTACTCCAAGTATTTTTGTCAGTGACAAAAATAACTTGTTATTTTTAGTTTTTTACTTATTGTAGTGGAGATGAAAGAAGAATGAAGGGATGTGGCGTTGGGGAGGGGGAGATAAATAAATGAAGATTATATGAAATAAAAAACTTGTAACTATCTGTTCCATTTTTTTGTTTGTTTGTAGTTTTTATGTTGTGTCATTCCATACACATTCTTTTCACGTTTCTTATGCCATCATTTCTTCATTTTGTCATTCATTCTTTAATTTTTCTTCATTTATTGCTCAAAAATTAAAAACTAACAACTAAAGATATATGTAGTAAAACTTCTATAATTAAATACTATGGACTAAGAAAAATTATTGTATGAGAGAGGTTATTATTATACTGATGAATGCTTATTAATTTAAAAAGAATTTATGTTTTGTTCAATTATTTTCTATGTATAATTTTTTGATAGATGTTGATGCACAAAACCGGAGGTCTTGGAACAACGTAAATCCGACCGTGAATCTGCAAGAAATGTAAATAACACAAGATGTATTGTGGTTCATCCCAATGTTTGGGCTACGTCTACATTCATTATTGTATTTCTCTGAGATGTTGAAGAGGGAGAGAGGGAGATAGAGTTTCCTTATGTAAGGGTGAGATTTTCTCAATGTGAGAGGGGATGTGAGGCCTCTGAGGGTGAGGAGGTTTCAGGCCTAAGAATTGGCCTCTCCTTATTGTGAGGGTGAGGAGTCCTTTTATAGAATAAGGGCTCATCACTTATTACATATTTGCCCCTTCCATTATTACATAATTACATTTAAGTCCCCCGAGTATTTGTACGAGATCTAAATACGGAGACCCTAAGTATGGTATAAACAGTAGTCCCCTAAGTCTTCAGTCAAGAGAGTATTTTGGCTGGAAACTTGAAATTCAGTCCATGTGTGGGCCGAAGTAACTAGATGTTGTCTTGAACTGATGCTTGATATGAGGCGGTGCTCAATCTAAAATGATGCTCAACTAGAAGTAGCACATGCTGCGAGGCTGCGAGGCTGCTCGGCTAGTGGCTTATGTTGCCTTGGTTGGCTCGGCTTGTGGCGTTGAAGGTGAATGAGTCCCTTTTATAGAATAAGGGTTCACTCCTCAATACATGAATGATGGGCTAGAGTTGATGCTCTCTAATGATGGTGAGGGAGTCCCTTTTATAGAATAAGGGCTCACTCCTCAATATATGAATAATGGGTGCTCTCTAATGAAAGTGATGGAGTCCCTTTTATAGAATAAGGGCTCGCTCCTTAGTACATAAATAATGGGCTAAGTCCCCTAAGTATTTTTTATGAGGCCCAGTTGAGGCCCAATATATGGTACATAATGTAGTCCCCAAGTCTTCGATCAATAGAGTCTGTTGGCTGGAGACTTCAAATTGAATTCATGTATGGGCCGAAGTGGCGGTTGTTCGGAGGCGGTATTTGTATACCCTGCACTGAAGCTTTGTAGTTGAAACTTTTGAAGTTTTGAAGCTAGAGCTCTGTATATGAAGCTTTTGAAGCTAGAGCTCTGTATATGAAGCTTTTGAAGCTAGAGCTCTGTAAATGAAGCTTTTGAAGCTGGAGCTCTGTAAATGAAGCTTTTGAAGCTGGAACTCTGTAAATGAAGCTTTTGAAGCTGGAGCTCTGTAAATGAAGCTTTTGAAGCTAGAGCTCTGTAAATGAAGCTTTTGAAGCTGATTGACATGAGTGATGCTCATGAATGTTTATGTTGATTGACATAAGTGATGCTCATGGATGTTGACATGAGTGATGCTCATGAATGTTGACATGAGTGATGCTCATGAATGTTGACATGAGTGATGCTCATGAATGTTGACATAAATGATGGTCATGAATGTTTATGTATGACTGACATGAGTGATGCTCATGAAATGTTTATGTATGATTGGCATGAGTGATGCTCATGTATAATTTTGAAGTACTGGACGTACTTTTGATCACCTGGTTGGTGGTAATAGCGGTAGGCTGCCGAATAATTTTGGAGTACTGGGCATATTTTTTATCACCTGGTTGGTGGTAATAGCGGCAGGCTGCCGAATAATTTTGGAGTACGCCCATAATTTTGGAGTACTGGGCGTACTTTAGATCACCTGGCTGGTGATAATAGCAGCAGGCTGCCGAATAATTTTGGAGTACTGGGCGTACTTTTGATCACTTGGTTGGTGGTAATAGCGGCATGCTGCCGAATAATTTTGAAGCTATAGGGCCTGGTTCTTTTGGGCATATAGGCCTTCGCCCTCCACATTCCAGCCCATTACTTTGGGCTTGCCTTTTTTTTATATTATTATTACCCTCTGATGGGGTTTATACAGATGTCTTCGAAAGATAAGATAAATTACATCATTAAAAAATAAATCCAACCTTCTGCTCAATGGGTCATGCCCATAATTCCCTTTTCTGTATGCCATCACCATCGCAATTATGTTTGCTTCTTTTTATCTTTTTTTGCTTTCTGCTTTTGCTTTTTCTTTTCACTTTTGTGGGGGTGGTTGAGCTGTTTGAGGGCCTTTCTTTTCTTTTTGTTGGATAAGTGCGACAAATCATGCTAGCAGATGCGAAGAGTTATTCCCTTTGTCCAAATGGGTTGTTAAAGATGACCCATCCTAATTGCAGCACCACAAGCCTTTACCTTGGTAGCATAAGTATGCCTTTTTCCATGTGGTCAACAAAAGCAAAAGTAGCTCACGACCCAAGAAGCATCTGCTGGTGGTCAATATAATCAAATGCTTCAGCTCATATTTTAAGTCCACCTCACCCCTGTCTCCCCACTTGGAAAAGTAATCCTCTGCTTCTGTAACCATTTGATCCACATATCCCTTAAGCTTATTTACCTTGAAAGCCTCCGTGAAGAATTGGCCTCCCTAATCTGGTTCGCCGAGACCAAACCGGAGTACACCGAATCGGCAATGGAGGCCAGAGTGTCGGAAGGTCGGGTCTTGTAGTGGGTAGACACCGACTTTCGAATCCCGTCGACGCAGGAGCATGTGATTGGGACTTTGAGGACGAGCTGGGAGGGAAGGATATGGTTTTCGACGTCTGGGTACGAAATGTCGATGGCATTGGCGGTAAGGAGAGCAATTAGGTCGATCTGGAAGAGGGAGGTGACCTCCGAGACCTTTAGCTCGGTGTAGACAGTGTACCCGAGCAAGGCGTTGCACTAGTCGGCCAGTTCATGGGATGCCATAAAGAATATTCATATTTGTGTTTTGTTTCTGTCTTCCAGTTCATGGGATCTGGTGTGTTGGCTGCCATGCGTACATCCTGGTGGCTGTAAAATTCAGTGCTCCAGTGACCCCCTTTCTTCTGGGTGGATGAGATGGCATGGAGGTCTTGTTGTGAGACGATATTCTTCTCTCTTTCTTTCTACGATTCTCGGTGATGTGTTTTAGGTGTTGCAACTCGACTCGTCCCTCAACATCTCATTTTGCTGCCGCTGTTGCTCTGATGATTTCAGTGGATTTGACTAGACTTCAGTTGGTGAACAGTCGATGAAAGGAAATGAAAGTACGAGACAGAGAGACAGAGAGAGGTTATTGGGTTTCTGAGTTTTTGTGATTTTGCAGATTCACGGCAGAGGTGAAAAAATGAAAGAGAACCGACACAACTTTTCGTATCGTTTCCCACAAACGGCGCCAAATGTTGATGCACAAAACCGGAGGTATTGGAACAACGTAAATCCGACCGTGAATCTGCAAGAAATGTAAATAACATAAGATGTATCGTGGTTCACCCCCAATGTTTGGGTTACGTCCACATTCATTATTGTATTTCTCTGAGATGTTGAAAATGGAGATAGGGAGAGAGGGAGAGAGAGCTTCCTTATGTGAGGGTGAGCTTCTCTCAATATGAGAGGGGATGTGAGGCCTCTGGGGGTGAGGAGGCTTCAAGCCTAAGAATTGGCCTCTCCTCATTGTGAGGGTGAGGAGTCCTTTTATAGAATACGGGCTCCTCACTTATTACATATTTGCCCATTCCTTTATTACATAATTACATTTAAGTCTCCCGAGTATTTGTACGAGATCTAAATACGGAGGCCCTAAGTATGGTATAAACAATAGAGATTGATTACATGTATCGATCTAAAGGTGATTTAGTGTGCTCTATTCCACTCCAAATCATTTTTTTTAAATACTTAGCTAATTGTAAGTGAGAGGTCTCAAGTTCGATTTTCACCAAAAACAAATTCAAACCAAATTATTATGGCTAGCCCTTATTTAGCTTATTCACCCACCCCTTAGGGTAGATAATATCGAATGTATTAAAAAATGGCATAGACCTAACCTATGAATTAAGACATAATATTCTCATAAACAAAATTACTTTTCCTATTAGTTATTTGATAACTAAATGCTTTCTTGAGACTAAATAAACACCAAGTTGATGATATATCTTTGTTGTGCGTTTTATTTGAATTATAATTGTTTGTTGCAATTTTTTCCCCTCAATACCGACATGTTTTTTAATAATTTTGTAGTTGAGATTCTTAAATTTCTTGACATTAAATATCTAAATACTTTTCACATTGCCCAAACGCTAAAAAAGGAGGAGAAAACACTCAGACAAGTCATACTTCCTGTGTGCGCTCATTCTAATTTGGAGGGAATGATATTGTATTAGATTCGGGAACTTTGCAGGTTTTAGGGTAGCAAGTAGAAAGTAGCAATATACCCTACCACACCAGTCCACACCAGTCGGCACTCAGCACCAATATATATGCATGGGTTTGATTTTGACGCCCATGTCAAGGGCTGAAATTCCTTCCTTAGCTCCGAAGAGAGGAAAAAGATGAATATACCAAAACCAAATTGTGAACAGCTGAAAGTTGCCTTGCCTACCCTCTTTCTTAATATATAATCCCCTTACTTATTTGACATAGTCA